AAAAAACACCTTAGAGTCAAAGGTGTTTTTCCCCCCCTTTTTCTAAACACCTTAGACACACCCAGGTAATCCCCAAATCCTGGACTGGTAGGGGGTCCCGAGGACTGGGTTGAGAACCCCTGCTCTAGTTGCTCTCATGCAGTTCTATATGGGTGCTCTAGCTTTATATATCAGACTCTTGGCAAGGTCAGCTCAACCTTTCATCCTTTGAAGGTAAACAGCTTGAGAATTAAGCGTGAACAACTCGACCCAAGTATGTGCTCGAGAATTATCAAAAGCTAATTTTAGCCTTGGTTAAATACTTTGATATTTTTATTTTATATTAAAATAATTAGTTATATATGACAGTATATAACTTATACCTTATGATAACATAGAAAATATGAACGGTCGGTTGTGGTGTGCCGAAACGGACGATCCGGTAGGCCTGTAATAAAGAGGGCCCACCCTGAGTATTATTGTTATTAAAGGGAGTGGTGGGAGGGATAAATCGCCAGAACAACAATGGTAATGAGGGGAGGGGTCTGGCGGTCCGTAAGTAGGGAAATCATGCCCCTCCAACAATCCAACAACTACAGGCCCAGCCTTTCATATGTAATATATATATATATATAGATATATATAGATATATATAGATAGATAGATAGATAGATATAGAGAGAGATATAACTATCTTTTACAAGATATTTAATGTTTCTTTTCCACTTTCTTGTTTTACCATTTTACTGCCATTACAATATAGAATATAAAAAAATAGTCATTTTGTGACCATTGCTCCCAATTTCTGCATTTTTCAGGTGGAAGTGAAGCCATATGTTTTGGATGACCAGCTGTGTGACGAGTGTCAGGGGGCTCGCTGTAGTGGCAAATTTGCTCCGTTCTTCTGTGCGAACGTTACCTGTCTGCAGTATTACTGTGAATATTGCTGGGCTGCTATCCACTCACGTGCTGGCCGGGAGTTCCATAAGCCACTGGTAAAAGAGGGAGGAGATCGCCCAAGGCATATTTCATTCCGCTGGAATTGAGCGACCCATTGCTTAGCTCACCTTGCAAGCATCCAAATAAGTGCACTCTTCTGTTCTCTTAATCTCCCTCCTACCATCTTTAGGAACGCATGTCCTTTTGTCGTAGTCTGTATTTTAACAATAGTATAACGGAAGAATGACCTACATATAGGTATTTTGTAGAGTCTTGTGTCCTTGAGAACTGTATAGGAACGCCTTTGTTTGTTCATAATATCACTCTGATGCATGCAAGTTTCATGCTGTCCTCACTGAAAACCAAGGGAGCAAGGAGACTGCAACGATTATTAATATATTTTTTTTTATTATTATTGTTATTATTTTATTTTAACTCTAAAAGGAGAGCTTAAAATAAGAAAACTATTGAGCAAGAAGAAAAAGAAAACAAGAGTATTTTTTTTAATTAAATTATTGTTAAATAAAAGTATCGTAAGAATACTGTTAATGTAACCATGCAACCACAATAACACTATTGGTCTGTTTGACACAGCTTATTTTTTACTAGGGGAGATTTTATTCTTATTTTTTTAATTTTAATTTTCTTTTTTTTTTAATTCTAATTTATTGGGGATTTTTAATGTTCTTTTTTTAAAGATTTAAGTGGAAAATGTGCATTTGCCTATTACACAGCAGAAGTAGTCAAAGAAGCATTGTAAATGTATTTTTCCCCGCTGTCTGGGAGTATTTGAATGCTCAAAACATATAATAAAATAAATGGCAGATGCCTCCAATATTTACATACATAATATTTTTTTCCCATTCCTTCCTTATTTAGACAGCGACAAAACTGGTTAAAATCTCCTTTGAGCTTTGAAGTATTTTAACAGTGATCTGTTTGCGTTTAAGCTTTTTAAAGAATGTACATGATGAGTGACGTTACTACTGAGGGGAGTGCACTTATTTATTTTTTCAGTGAAAAAAAAAATAAAAATAAAAAAAAAATATAAGTGGTTACAACAGAATCAGTTATAGTAGCCCCTTCCCCCATTAAATTCCTACCAAAGCTCAAAGAAATAAGATAAATGACTGAAGGCAGGAATTTCCTCTCCAAAAGAACAAATGTATAGATTTTTATTTTTTTGATGCTTAATATATATCTAAATAGTCCTAATTTACTTAAACATACATCAGGTGCCAGCTTTTGTTCTCCATTTTGACACTGAAAACTTGAAAGATACCTCAAGGTTGAGAATTTTTTTTTTTTTTTTTGTGGAAAAAAATAAAAATTAAAAAACAGTCTTTATCGGACTGTAGGAGAGAAGCCCTTTTATGGTCACCCCTTGTACTGCCTGCAAAGATTGCTGGAGCGGATTGCAGTACACTGCTGCCAGTAAAACGGAAGTGGCGATGAACATGTTTACAGACTGTGTGGCAGATAAGGGGGCTGCGAAAGGGCTTCCTTCAGCATAGTCACTTTACACACCTGCATTGTCTACTCACCAGATACAATGCACGGTCTGATCTGCAGCAGAGCTTTCAGTTTGGTGAGATCCTCGTTGTGGTGAGCAAACAAAACATAGAAAATCTAAATATTGTACTGTACTGTGGTCAGTCATGGTGACCGTAAATTGTTTGCACACAACGAGAGTAGTCTTTGATGCAGTATTTCTATTTGCTGCTGTTTTATTTTTTTAGCATAACCCCAATTTATGCTCTTCCCGCACATAAAATTTAAATACGTTCATCTTTAGGAGAGGTAATGAGCAGAACTGTAAAGTCACATTTTCTCCGCTAGCACAGAATATGGCTCTGAATGTTTCAGTTCCTAAACTGAAAACATTAAGCTGCTTATGCCACAGGATTATCTTTTGATGCCTTAACCATTTCTGTGCTGGAGTATACAAACCACAATTTACAGAGCTTTACTGGCCCACATGGCCCAAAAGAAGACAACACTGTCTAGTCAATCCAATAAAATAAAAAAATTCAATGGATTGTAGCGTAGCTGTCCATACATATCCGTAAGAATACCTATACTATATTCTTGAGGATTAAAGTATTAAGTAGATGGAGTTTTTTCGATTATTTTTGGTGGGTTTTTTCAATTGTTTTTTGTAGTTTAGACCTGAAGTAGGAGATAGTTGCAGTAATATCCCCATAGTTATTTAAGATCACCCAGTTTTGCAAAAGGTTGTAAACAGAATTCCTGGAAACAGCAGCAAGCTCCTATCTGATTGCATAATAGTTGTTCACGCTACTATACATGGTAACTAAACCATCACGGGCCAGACTCTAACAAGATGTTTTAGAAGGATGTCAGACTGTCACTATCTCTGTTTGGTGTCAGTAATAAGCTGTAGTCCATGCAAAGTTAGTTCATGAACAAATGAAGAATCAGAGCTCTTCTCCTGTAGCAGCTGTGATATTTCTTGAGATTTAAAATGTAGATGACGTCTACACTAAGCCTCCACGGCTTTCGCCTGAAGGAGCTGTCAGTGCATCTCAACAATCAGAAGTAGAGGCTTTAGAAATCACACTAGCATGCAGAATTTAATGTTGTAAAGCTTGTATTGTAGGCCTCTGTTTAAAGCACTAAACATAAAAGTTTACCATCTATTTTTTTTAAAATACATGTTTGTTTGTTTTGTTTGGTTTGTGTGTTTTTTTTTGTTTGGTTTTTTTAACATGAAGGGCATTGCTATTTCATCATCACCATAGGTCGTGAAAACCAAAGACTTGTTTCAGCATTGCTGCTTAACCCTTGAATGCAGAGCCCTTCAGATAAATATATATATTCTCAATTCCTTGCCACTGTTTAGTAAGCAGATCTTTTTACAACATAAGCTGAGGCATCTGATTCATTAAGAAGCAAAAATGCCCATAATCCTTTCCTAATGTTGAACATTATGACCGTGTACCCCAAAGGTTTGAATCTACTGACTACCTTCGCTTACATCACTTTTCAACAGAGGGGTTATGTTAAGAAAAAGAAAATATGTAAGGTGCAAAATGGAGACACTTGCTAAAGGATATTGAAGTAATGAAAAGGGAGCTGCTCTTATAACCAATCCCTAAAATGCGACAAAAGTAAAAATAGCATATAAAGTGGGTGCTCTTGTATATATCCAGACAAGGAAAAGTCCAGATGGATGGTTTGTTTTAAGCCTTTTATGCTTTGGGAGTGCTTGTAGGTGGCGTGGGGTGTGCTAGAGTACCATTCCTACCAGTAAACAGTGGCAATGAGTTAACCTTTTCACTGCACACAGTAGTTGGCAGTGTTTGCAACGTCTTCTGCAATAAAGAGTAAGGACTCTTACAAGCAGGGAAAAGGTTAATCCTCCAGAATTAAAAACACACTGTTTGGAAGCTAGCTTTTGAAGAATATTTTCTTTTTATTTCCCTTTGTACATGACCTGCTGAATTTCGGTACAGTGTTTTTGTAGCTAACTTATTTTTGTCATGCACATATTGTACACTTGTTATGCACTAATTTTATATATCTTACGTTTCCAGCAGTGAGCATTTAGGCCGACTTTTCACTGGCGGGATATCTCTTTATGCAATACCTCAATTTTTCATATTGCAAAGAGTAGCTTTTTGTACTTTTATTACGGAGAGATCTTCATATAACTTCATTTTTTAAGATAAATAATTTTAATAAATTTTTATTTTCTTATATTCTGCTTTTTATACATTTCAGTGCTCTGCATACATTTGATTGATGGATGTCGCGCACTGGTAATGCTACTTTAGAATCTGCAGAGATACAAAGGCATGTGGCTTCAAACATCCTAGCCCACACCAAACGTTTGGTGTATATTTCATTTAACGATATACTAGATCTAACCTTACAAATAAAATCGCATGATCGTGACAACTTTAATCTCGTCTTTTTAGTCCCTTGGAAAAAAAAAAAAAACGTAGCCTAGAAATTTATTAGTAAACAATTGCAAAAATGTATTCAGCTTCTTCATACGTTTTATTTTTTAACAAATTAAAATATATATATATATATATATATATATATATATAAACACACAATTTGCTAATTTTTTTTCCTTTTGGTAAATGTTTAGCCATTTTAAATATTAACAAAAAAAATTAATGTTAGGTGTTTTTTAATGCAGAACTATGTCTGCAGTTTTGAAAAAGTTATGGAAATTCTAATTGAAAAAAAAAAAATTATTTAAAAAAATAAATAAAAGCCAGATTATCTGGTTCCTGATGTGTAATGTTAGTATGCATGACTAATATAAGGAAATAAAATTGTTATTCTACTAATATACACTTGTTGTTATTGTGTGAAAGCGTGTTTACAGAAAATTTGGTAACACATTTACAGAGTGTAAAGTACCACGAGTGTACTCTGTATATGGATACACAGCTCTTAGTATAATGTATGCTATTAGATTTTCGACAGCCTTTCAGATCCATAGTTGGCTTCTCAGTTATGTAGTAGCTGAGAGTGTGATATACAGCATACATATTTCGAGTCTGTTCACATGCCAATAGTTTTCATTTTATTTTTCCTTGAAACTGCTTTCTGCTGAATGTGCCTACAAGGCAGTGAGTATAGTACTGGGGGCCTTCTACAGAATAGTAGTTTACACCATTATATCCTAGGGTGTTTCATGTGGTTATTTTCTGCACTGTAAAACAAACCAGGTTGCTGATTGTTTTAATGTGACAAATACCCTCACTGCCCAATGCTTTGGCCTAGTATATACTTCTCCATACACAGACCTCTGCATAATGCAAGTTCAAATGTTTGCAGTGATTGACTAGCATTGTAGAAATAATGCTTTTTTGGAAAGACTTGATAATCCCAAATTATTATTTTCCTTGTTTTGTTTGTTTTATAGTTTTATTCTTTTTTTTTATATATATTGTTTTAAAGAGTTAAGCCTTCTGTTTAAAGGTGATTTAAAACTTGAATGTGATAATAAATTGTGGCGAGTTGAACTTCAAGTTGTTATGTGCAATACTTATTTCTGACATTTGAAAGATCTTTGCAGTGTAATTCTTCATTGTTTTTAATTGCAGGCATTTAAAAGATGTCATTTTCTACTGTTCTAGTAATCCTCTTTCTTGCTGGTGTTTCTAAAGAAAAGAAATCAGAAATCAATCTTTCTACTAATGTAAAACTGAGATTATTTTTAAAAAAAAAATGGAATAGGTGGTTTTAGTTATTGGCGTTATTTTGTTACTTTCTTTTAACCCTTGGGGCTCTGGGGGAGCATGGAACTTAACGAGAAACACGCCCCTCCAGGTACACGAGGGTTAAAGCTACTGTGATTGATAACATTGTAAGAATTGGGACAATATTGTATTCAACTGTTTTATTTTTTATATTTTTAAATTTCAAAACATAATTCGTTTTTATAATTTTCATCAAATTCCTTTGTTATATTTTTTTGGAAGTGAAATTATTAACAAGTGGATGTCTAGTTTTTACTAATCCCAATGTTATCTTCTTTTCCAATGTATTGCTCATTTATCAGAAGGAAGAACAAGTTATTTAAGTATGTCTGTTAAATGTACCACTTCGATGAATTTACACATAGTTTATACTGTGTATGGGGAGGTTGTTGTATTTATTATAGCATTTTAAATAAAGGTAATTCATTTTTTTATTAAAGTCATTTTCACGTTTAAGTTCATATTTTTGTATGTTCTACTCTAATTAAGTTATATAACACAAGTTCTTTTTTTAAAGAGTTCATTTGTTGAAGTGCTAGTGAAAAATTAATGTTATTAAATAGTTTGCAAATGACTATTTATACCAGTATGCATATAATTTTTAAATATATTTGTAATGTGAGATGTTGAATGAATAAAACTTTTAACTCTAAATTTATTTATGGAAGTGAGTTGTCATTTGTTTTTGTATTTTTTTTTTGTGTGTGAAACAATACATAAACAGGTGATTGCACGTTCATTCAAGGTATTACTTTGATCTTGCTTCAATACAGTAGGAAATTGATGCATGAGCCAATGGTCATGAATGCTTACTATGTGGATAAAAAAAAAAAATACTTCATGAAAAAGTAGGGTGTTAAAGTTTGTCTACGGAGAAATTATTTACAAATCACCATTCGTGGCCATAACCTGTCTTGGATACATCAATGACCGCATACATCAATACTGTGCATGCATGCCTCCCAACGGTCCTGGCTTTAGCGGCACAGCCATGATTTTTGGGTCCTGTCCCACCTTAGTTCCCTGGTGTGGGGCTTTTGGGAACACCAGAAAACTGTCCCAAACAATCTTAGCATGAGCGCATCAATAGAAGTGCTTGTGCCATGGTCAGGGCAGTAGGGCCCTGCCTTAGTGGGCCAGTCTAAGTGATGGACAGCCTGGCGTGTATTCATTCTGGACAGGTTCAACCCTTTAGGGGGCAGAGCTAGTGATGCAATCACTGGCACACCCCCTTTATCTCCCTTCAACCAGCGTCCCAATTCACAGGATCCTGGTATTGAGGGGTATACTCGAAACTAGTATGTGTGTTTAATGTCAGATATAAAGTAGCAGAACCGGTTTGCTATGGAGTTGGAGACAGATACTTTTCTGCAGCAACTGTTCAAGATCAGAAACCAATATTTAGAGCAATATCGTTGCCCCTTTCCTCCAATAACAGACTTCAACTGACGAAAATTTAACATGAGGTATTTTGAGAATGCAGAAGTGAAGACAAAGGATATGCCAAATAAGATATGAAGGAGTAATATTAGCGAAATGAAGCAGCCCAAAGTATCTGAAAAATAAGTCACCACAGATAGTCCGAATCATTAGATTTGGGTGTCTACTTGTTAATAAAGGATTTGTAGACCTAGAAATCTTGCAATTAATTAAGCTGAGCACAAAACGAGGTTTCATTATCCAGAGCATTCTTATGTCAATTCCCTAGAGCAGTGTTTTGCAACCAGTGTGCCGAGCATGGTTGCGTATAAAAGAGCCGGCACGAGGATGGCCAAGTGCACTGCCTTCAGCTCTCCAGGTGCAGAGCTCCAGACTGTGAAGTAGCTGTCGGCGAGCTCCGGACAATCAGAGTGTTGCTGCAGATTACCACGTCAACGCTCTGTCACTTCCACTGCCGGTGTTCTATCAGATATCTACACCTACATTACTTCCGGTGCACCCTGACGTGCAATCAGCTGCGTGCATGTGCGCTCACTGGCCTCCAAGGTATAGAAATCTGTTAGAGGTAGCACACGATCAGCTTGGTCACTAATCTGAAGGGTGGGGCACATCCATCAGCTATAGAAATCTGATGGGTGTACTGTGCATGCGCGCGGCACATCCATCAGCTATAGAATTCTGATACAGCTGTTGCTAGATTTTACCCCTGAGTGTTACTTAGTCATTCCCCTTTATGTCTCTATTAGTCTTTTATTTTTACGCAGCCTGCTTCTCTAGAAGCAATAAAGGTAGGGCTGGACAACCTGAGAATTGATTACTGAATTAAACAAAAGGTATAGTGTGGGGAAGCTGCTCACACACACACACACACACACACACACACACACTGTCACCCCACCATCAAACAGCATCACCCTCCACATACAGTCAACACACTTTCACTCTCCATACTAACATACAAAATCAAGCCCTGTGCTCAAACTCCCACTACTGCTGGGCGGCAGCAATAACTATAGTACATAAAAATACCAAAATATCCAAAATCCCTATTCATATTAAAATAACTGTGGAGTTTTTTTTTTTTTTAGTATCACTCCATTGACCATTCAAGTGTAAGCTCATCTGCCATGTATTTTGTATTACACAGCCATGTTACAATGCTGCCGCCCACCCCATGTGTTCCCTATTAAGCGTTACTAAGTGTGTCAGAGTTTATAAAAATACCCACTCTGTTTTATTAGAGATTTTGCCTACTAGATGAAGACTGCAAGGTGAATTGCTAGTGTAGGCTCCCCTAAGAGGTTATGCATTGACTTGACAGGTGAATGGTCATTGGAGTGATACTAAAAACCTCCAGTTGCATATGGATTTGGAATAGGCTGCTAGTAACTTTTATGTACTGGGGCTAATGTGTACAATAGTCATTGCTGCTGTCTGGCAGTAGTGAGAGTTTGAGCACATGACTTGACTTTGTATGTTAGTATGTGGAGGGTGACAATGTGTACCTTTTTTTTTTTTTTTTAATAAATCATTCTCCACATACTGCCACCTCACACTGTCAACCTCCACATTTTGCTACTCCCCCTCCTAGCCCCCCCCCCACAGACACACAATGCAATCCGCCCATACACTCACACACCTTCACCCTGCCACTCACATTAACACACCAATCCTGTCACATTCACCTTCTTTTGCACTGTAACACTCTTCCTCCACTATTCTGTCACACTTCCTCTCCCCTTAACCCAACCATATTAACTCCTCCAGTCCTGCCACACTCATTCCCACTAACCATGTAACAGTCATCTATCACATAAACCCCCCTAATCTTGTCACACTCACCTCCCCTTGCCCTGACACACTCCCTTCTCTATCCATGTCCCAACACTGTCTCATTCACCCCTCTCAACCTACCACAGTCAGTCAACACACCCTATGACAGTCATCATACACACATTGTTATAAAACATGGCTTTGTCATAAACACAATGCACAAAGGCCACAGACATCCCCCCCAATACACACAGCACACTTCAAGCAGCTACACCACACACACAATACTAGAGACCCAAACATACATATGCTCACATAGACGTACATTCACACACAAGGATACTCACGGTCAGACACACTCTCTCAGGCACATACATAGGTAGCCAATGCCAGGCATACTCAGAAATACACACAGGGCAATACAAATTGTCACTGCATGTCTGTGTTTGTCACTGTGTGTGTCTCTGTGCATCAGTGCAATAATTATTAAATGGTAGACGACTAATATTTATTAATGGGCACCTGGCTTGGACAATGCTAATTGGGAATGGCTGTTTGGACTTCCTTTAAGTTTCTTTAAGTCTAGTTGTATTCGTTTTCCAATTGAGACACCTAAGAGTCAAATAAAGATGGGCATACAATCTTCTGGTTTATGTGAAAACTAGAAGTCACCATGGGAATAAAATATGGAATTACCTTGAGAATCATTCTTATAAAACAGCTTTTAGATATGATTGACTCATGGGGTTATTGGCCCATCAGGCATCAGCCAGACTTAAAGGGACACTATAGTCACCAAAACAACTAGCTTAATGAAGCGGTTTTGATGTATAGACCATGCCCCTGCAGTCTCACTGCTTAATTCTCTGCCATTAGGGAGGTAAATAACTTTTTTTTTTTTAATGCAGTTCTAGTCACACCTCCCTGCATGTGACTTACACAGCCTTCCTAAACACTTCCTGTAAACAGTCATCAAATGTTTACAAAAGTGATTTAACTCCAACTAACAAATTTCAGATAATTGAGCAGTGAGACTTCAGGGGCGTGATCTATACATCAAAATTGCTTCATTAACCTAATGTTGTTTTGGTGACTAGTGTCCCTTTACCAACTCAAGCATTGTTATCCGCTGCTGTTGATATCCTCATGTTATCCACACAAAAATAAAATAAGCACACTTGGTTGCTACAGCTTCAGTGAGATTGTGGTAAAATGTATTTTAATCCTTTCCTTATTTAAAAATAAATAAATAAAAACATAAAAAAGCCCTACTGTGTTTGAGTTAAAACAACCCGAAATTGATTGATGATTTGTGTCATACATCAGGCACTGCAAAAATAACTACTTGTCAGTCATCAAAGTGAAACTTTACACACACACCCTGTTTCATGACTCATACATTGTTGTCATGATTTTTATTGGACAAACTGATTTTAATTGATGTTTTTGATTTACTGCATTTCAAGATTGAGTGAATAAACCCTTTTGTTCCATATTTTTCCATTGCAAACTTGTAGAATCCAGTTTATTTTGCAAACATCTGGAAAATCCTTCATTGTGGAAGAGGAAGAATCAGGAAGGGGCATTAGCATGAGAAGATGTATGTAGACTGAATTTACATTTAGAATGTTTCTCTAACCAAAACAACAGTGTTCTTACCAAACAATGGTTTTGGTTAGAGTAATACTTCCTGTGATGGTCTGACATCCAACCAGGGGCGGGCTGGGCCAGGGGGCAGGGAGGCAATTGCCCCCCAGGCCGCCCTAAATTCTTTTAAGACCGGCCACTGCAGGGCCAGTCCTAATGCTGCAGCCGCCTGAGCGCTCTGTTAAGAGCCTCAGGCGGCTGCAGCTGCTTCTCTCCTCGCCTGTAGCGTGGCCAAGCTCCTCTCCAGTCCGTGGTGTCTGGCCGGAGTGATAGGAAGGTGCACACTTAGAAACACAATGCATCTCTTACACACACTCAATGCACACACATATAGACACACACCTTGCATCCCTTATGCATACAAACACAGATTCACGCAATGCATGCCTTACACACAACCAGAAATACACAATACATCCCTTATACACAAATACACACTGCTTCCACTACACACAAACACACTGCATCACCTACACAAACTGGTATCCCTATACACATACATATATATATACATACCATAAGCAAACATATTAGATCCTCTACAATAACTCATAACACATCCCCTACACACTCCACTCCCTGTGAGCGAACTCATGGGTGGGTGGATCATATAAGTGAACTTATGAGTGGGCCTTGTGGACATACTCACCGTCAGGTCCTGGGGCCCAGACCTTGAGTTGTGTAAGGGGCCCCCAAAAAATGGAGCTTCTTCCAATTCTCCCAGAACATTGAATTTTGTGACCACAGTTGCAAACAGCCTCCAGAGATCCTGTTCTACACC